AGCTTTAATGTTACCAGTGGAACACCAGCTAAACCAATACCATTTAAAAGTGAAAAATAGTTTATCTTTATCTCAAGATTTTTGTAAAATAATGTATACGATCCTATAGCAAAACAAGTATCAGAATAAAATTCACAACATGTCGAATTATTCTGCTCGTTTGTTTTTTTTAAATATATATATTCTTATTTCGAATGCTATTGTTCAATATAGTTTGATTATCGACATGTTTAATGAATTAGTTGTTTGTTTTTTAACATTTAATTCTTTGTTATTTATCTCAACGGTCAAAAAAATTAAGGAAAACAAGATGTTTGATTAAAACTTGTTGATAAAAAATCGATTTTTCTTGTACATAACCTTCTGAAGTCTATTCATATTATTTTATTTTGTATTTATTTAAGGATATCGTTTCGGAAAACATTTTACCCATGAAATATCATTGTCTATATCTATGAATAAAAATTGCTATATTCGTCTATAGAGATATAGCTATTGACCTTTCTGTTTCTTTGTACATACTTGACGTAGTTTAATCGCTTTGTTATTAATGTTGTCCTTCTACATTACGAAATGATATAACATCAACGTGACGATATCCAGTCATTTCTAGGTACTTTCATTTGTAGACAATCGATCGAATAAATAAAATGTACTGGTTGTGATGTCTAGTTCGATATAGAACGGTGTAAAGAGAAAAAAATAGTCTCTATATAAGTCGCCGTACAGTCGAGCAATGTTTTTTAATTGTAAATTCTCTAGTATAGGTTCCTCGTTTTTTTCTCTTAAGATGAAAAAGCAATCTACTATAGGAAAAATGATCGATGAATTTGGTGGATACAAACGATTTAATGAAGATACAAGGAATTACGTTAGTAAATTTTATTAAATCACTTTAAAATGATTAAGAAGAAATAATTTTTATTGAAATATTTTAACTAAAGAATATTAATTTTAATTTTCCAATTCAACAACTAACACCACCTCAACCAATACCAGGAGCAGCACAACATCAACCACCAGGACAAATACCACCTCAACCATCAGGACAAGTACCACCTCAACAATCAGCAACAGCACCAGGACAACAGCAAGAAACAAGTAAGATAATTAGCAGTATTTCATAGAATTATCGTGTGAAATTTCGTTGTTTATATAAAAATGCTTTAGTTTTAGATATTTTTATTGATTTATATACAAACGCAAAATTCGCGTGGTGTCTTGTGATAATAATGATGATTGCATACATGTTTAATATTCAACTGCAGTTTTTGTCATTGATCATAATATTATATGCATTATGTAGAATAATCGCCAAAAGATGGTGCACAATCAGTGAAATGTTTAACACAATCAACCAGTATCATGTTCAAATGAATTTGTTCTTGGTTGTCATCGTTATGCAGTTCATCATCATCATAATGCTGGTGATTTTAATTTTGAAACAATAATAAACTTTTCTGATGGTCGAGATAAAAAAAATACTTTTTTTTAAAAATTTTCTACAGGCATTGATGTGCATCAGATGATATTAGATTGAAAAAAAAATTCTAAATGAGTAAATAGATATTCTGTTAAAGTGTAGTTTTATTAAAATAAAAAAAAGTGATTTTTCTGTCGAATGTCGAATATCTACATGTTTCTCAATTGAAGTATACTGACCTTGTTGATGTGAAAAAATGATCGAATGTTATTTTGCTATTTTTCTTGTGCACCATAAAAATTTGAGGAGTAAATAAATGTATCACTAAATCATTATATCATTATCTATCTTTCAGACTTCGCAAACCAATCATCTACATTTGAATGTATTATAGTCTCGTGTATAATACTTGAAAAATATTGATATTCTTCTTGAAAATTTACTACAGGATTTTATATTCAGCTATAGCGTATCAATCACCAGTGGTAGGCATAACATACAGTGAGCATACTAGACAAAAATATGACCCTTAAAGAACAAACTAACACTTCGTGCTAACGTGAAAATATATGCTAAAATTATTCAGTTACCATGAGGAGCCTGTAAAATCTGAAACTACGTCATTTATACTATAAGATATTTGTACATTAATAGAGTGACTCGGCGTTTCACATAAAAAACTTAATTAAGTATAATCTTTAAATTTTAACAGTGAATCAAACTTCAAAGCATTTTCTGTATACCATCAGTTGTCGCTTATCGAAAACCAAAGGTTCGAAAAACTACATTATTATAAGCTAAATTCAACGAGGCACATCTTATTATGAAATGTTTTGAGAACTATAAATTATAAGAATTAAAAATTTATCATTATTATTTATAATTAGACAGCTATATGAAATGTGTTTTATCTTACGATTACCTATTTTAACCATCGTAAAAGACAAAGCATTCAAAATTAATCGAATAAATTCTGTTTTCTAACAACCTTAGTCGTATTTTAATTGATCAAAGCAAGAAAATTCGATTCTCTTTTCAATGTAGAGATAGACTAATATCGATTTATTTACTTAATTCTACTGCCCATAACTGCATATACATTCTACTTTTCAGTTCTCAGAAAACTAAATAATTCAATAACTGTATCTGACTAGTGTGGAAAATTTAAACTATCGTATATAATTTTTCAAAGATTTTTGGCATTGTCCTGGTACCAACGGATTCCTGGCTGCGCCACTAACTGTAAAAATCTACGAACATGAACATGAACAATTACAGACTCTCTCCTATCAGAATATTTTTTTTCTTGTTGACTTTAGTGCGGAAATTTTTCCAGTACTATTGTTCTCATCTGAAAGATCTGGTAACATTAGTTTCTTTGAGACTATTTCATTCTCAACAAAAATCTTCTCATGCAACAAAACACGACTAAAAAGAGAAATTTAAGAAAACAACAGATGCATGAGATTAGTGCAAAAGTCTTCTTATTAGTAAACAAACCCAAGGAAACTGTTGTGGCGTGGATGTGTGAGTAGGTAGGCGTAGGTGTCGGTGTGGATGTGCGTTGGAATCTTCTATTCTCTCACACCCCACACTCACCCACATCCTTTCGTTTACGATTCGTATTAACTGAAACTGCATTTTTCTTTCTTAACTATGTCATTAAAATTCGTTCTTCTTTACATGTAAGTACAGTAGATCGACTAGTTTTATACTCCAAAATATTTTTTGAAATTTTGAATTATTCAAAAGACTCATCTATTACAATCATATAAACAATATCAAAGATAAACGAATATTTTTCCTGTAATTGGATTAAACTTTTTATTATAACGGATACTGCAGAATAAATGGCCTCCTCAGTATTTTCTTCAACTCTTTTCTTTTCTTTCATCCAAAATACATGATTATATCATAGAAAGATGCATGGTAAAATTCTCTTCGAGATCGTCTATTTGATCTTGATTAAATACCGTTCATCAAAATGGTATCACTTGAAAAAATTATGAATGCTTCCTAAAAATAGTTTTTCCTAATATCGCTTTATTTGCAATGTCTTAGCAATTTTGCATTGATAGTTTATTGTAGTTGAGAAGCAATCTAGGTTTACCGATCCTCCGGAGATGCCTACGCTTTCCTATTTAGGTTGAACTCATAAATAACAGAATTAATATGTTATTTCAACAAAGATCACTAAGACATTGCAAATAAAGCGATATTAGGAAAAAGCATTCATAATCTTTTTAAATGAAACGATTTCGATGAGCAATATTTAACCGAGATGAAATAGACAACGTTGAAGAGAATTTAACGATGCATCTTTCTATGATATAATCGCGTATTTTTGATGAAAGAAAAAAAAGAGTTAGAGAAAATACTTAAAAGACCATTTATTCTGTCTCATCCGTTCCATATTTATTTATTTTGATAAACTAAACCTAAAACTTACTGGTGACATCATAAATAGTAATAATTTTTTTATAATTTACATTTTTAAGTATTTGTGTATAAATTTTTGGTCTTATATCCATAGGACAATTAACCATTGTTTTTATTCAATTATGCATAAAATTTTCATCAAGACAATTAAGATTATTAAATATCGATTGATATTGTTATTGATAATATTTAGAAAACTAATAGTAAATATTTTGGTAATGATTTTTTATTTAATACTTGTTTATCAAGTATTAACATCATTTCAATACGATGGCAAATAATTCATTCAGTGAAACGTAATAATGTAAGAAATTGTTCAATTAATAAATCTATAAAGAATTTTTAATGATGATAATAATAATTTATTTCATTTTAATAAATTATGCCAATTAATCTTCAGTGTATAAGATCAAATAAATTATGTACATGCATCACTTTGTGTAAAAAAAATAATAAAATAATTGATGATATGTCATTAATAATGATAAGAATTTAAAATATTCACTTAAAATAGTTTCAATATGAAAATCTATCAAGATTATTTACAATTTTATCGTGAATTAATCATTGACGAAAATCATTTAGAATTGTTCAAAATTGTTTAACTAAAATAAAATTATAGATCATATAAATTTATAGTAATTTTAAAGTCAAATGAATGATTAATATGACATTATCATAAACAATAAATCCAATTACTGGTTGAAGAATATTTAAGAGAATATATGAATGTTTGAATAAAGATAGGTCTTTGTGAGAATAGATTATAATGAAAATTTATGATCTTTTCACTTTAGACCAAGTGAAAAACCATCTGATTTTTATGATTGATAATCAGTTTTTCTCCTAAACTTTCGAATCGAATTTGTTAAATCAATTATTTCGATCGAAAGCTTTTGCATGCTTATTCGTAGTTCTACATATTTCTATTGCTTGACTATCATATTCATATCTACAAATATAGTATTATCTTGACTGATTACCACTTTTCCGTAGTATGCATAATTAAATAAGGAAACTAATAGTATTATTGGTTTGACCATTTAATTTTCGATTATTGGTTAAAATTCATAATATGAAAACAGAAATGAAAATAAGAATTTATTAAATTACTTACATACTAAAAGTTTCATCTCGTGTATTAACTAATGATAAAGCATCATTCTATCGTGTTAATATAGCGTCTTCAGTTGAATTTTTTTCCTAAAAAAAAACAATTTTAAAACTATAGGAAAATTATTTTCATAAAAAAACAAACATTTTTATTTGCTAATACTCAAAAACCGATAACAAATGGATCAATTGGTCATAATTCAATTGATGATACAACGCCAGATAATGCTAATTGTGTAGAATAAATATCCAAAAGTGATATTTGAAAGGAAAAATAATCATAGATGAAGCACATGTGATGGTAAATGACAATTTGTATATCGACAATTAGATGTGAAAGAAGTTTCGATTTATCATCTTCATTTTGAACACTATCAACAAGAACTATTAACAATTGTAAAGCTTGTAACAACTATTATTGTTTTTTTTCAGTGTATGCAGAAGACATGAAAGAGATACTTTTATTTACAGTATTAGATTTAAAAATAATTAAAATGTCTAGTTTTTCTTCAAAATTTTAATTGCGATATCTTTTATCAAATACACAATGGATAACCTTACCAACTGATTAATACAATATTTTCTTTCCAGAAATATAAATTTCAATGGAAAACTAGTACTATCCAATACACTGAATTTCAGATCTTGAGTTTCTACGATATCTGAGATCTCTAGAAAAATATATCTTGTTCATTGTTCTCTAATAAAACTTTTTAGGAATTTTAACTTTTCACATAGTGCCTATATCTTACAATATCACATTACTTTATTATATTGAACAATAACCATTCGTTGTGCTTCTAATTGTTTATTATCTGTTTTAAGTCGAACAAGAAATAAATCATATACAATTGGTTCTAATCCTATTCAAAAATAAACAACAGATTATAAAATGAAAAAAAAAACAAAACAATTAGAAACACAATGAACTTCATAAGCATCTATTTTTAAGCCTAAATTTAGTTAATAAAAGGTACGTTTTGCCCTTAGATAAGTTTCAGACTCAATACAATATCCTAAAGATTTTAGCTCGATCGATGAAGAATAAAAAAAAGATTATGATTTAAATAATTGAAACTTTCTTTAAAATACTCATTATTAAAAAGATTACATTTGGCATAGATTGAATGTTGATTTCAGATACAGTGGACGTCAAAAGTCTCGCACCACTTTTTTGCTTTGGGTCAGATATTAAAATTATCCTATGGAATTTAAATTTCTTTTTTATCATTGGAAAGTACAGATCGAGTACTATCTATATATACCTGTTTAATATGAAAACTCATTGAATATAAAATATAATAAAAACAAACAAACTTGATTGCTAAGAAAAAAATCACATAAAAAACTACAAAAATATATTGTTGTTATAAGTTTCAGTATTTTTAGTAAAATGTGAGTACGTATACAACTGAGTAAGAGTTTTGTTTTGACATTTTTATATGGTTTGATAGAACTCGTCGAACTCTACAAAATTGTCTATATGAAAAAATTTTGAAACCCTTTTCATTGCATAAATTTATTACAAATTATGTAAAAAATGTGAAAAACTCGTATTTTTGTATAGAAAAAAGATTTTAGCAATTTTCCATATAGAAAACATGAAAAACGCAAGTTTTTAGTAAATTTATGCAATGAAAAGGGTTTAAAAAATTTTTCATATAGACAGTTTTGTAGAGTTCGACGAGTTCTATCAAACCATATAAAAATGTCAAAACAAAACTCTTACTCAGTTGTATACGTACTCACATTTTACTAAAAATACTGAAACTTATAACAACAATATATTTTTGTAGTTTTTTATGTGATTTTTTTCTTAGCAATCAAGTTTGTTTGTTTTTATTATATTTTATATTCAATGAGTTTTCATATTAAACAGGTATATATAGATAGTACTCGATCTGTACTTTCCAATGGTAAAAAAGAAATTTAAATTCCATAGGATAATTTTAATATCTGACCCAAAGGAAAAAAGTGGTGCGAGACTTTTGACGTCCACTGTATTTTGAAACTGCCTCAGAGAAGTCCAAAACTATAGGTCATGACCAGAATGTTGTTCTCTTTCTAAATGCTGGCTTACAGATTTGCTTGTGGTCAATGAAATGATGTGTCAAAAGTCTCAAAGAATAGTTTGCACGGAAAATTTTGCCATACACTTTTGGACTTTGATTATTGTGACTTGAAAGTCAATGTTGAAATCTTTATTAGAATATTAACTTTTAAATCAGAAGCTACTCTACAAAATGTACTATTCAAATTATTCTAGAGATCACTTCAAATTGCATTTCTCTGAACTTCTCATTTGTGAAACAATCAACTTTTTTACCAAAATACATTTTCTACAGAAGGGAATTCATAGGATTTAGTAAAATATCTATTGATTCACTATTCAATTGAATTTTTTGAACATTTAAAAAATTCTTTTATTGCTCTCGAGCAAAAACTAAAATAAAATTTCTAAAGCAACATTCGACATGTGCACAGTGAGTTGGTTCTCACCGTACCTTTTGACCTCTTGGAAACATATCCAATAGATGAAAAAAAATAAACAGATATTTGGTCTCAAAATGTTCGGTCAATCCGTTTGTAATGTTTAGTTGAACAATGAGATATGAGAAAATTTTAAAAACAATTTAATTATAACTTTTAATACGTAATCTGAATGAAAAACCCGTGTAACGCTACACGAGAAAAAAACAAAACTTAATGCATTTGTTGTCGATAAATATATCCTTGAATCATCATTGTCTTGTGTTAACTAGTGCATTTCATTGCTATTACATATACTATCATCGGCTTATTACTCAACAAGTGAAACGTATGATTGTAGATACTGTCAAAAAGATTCAATACTAAAGAAAACAAAGTCAAGTCCAATCATAATAGAAACTTTCTATAGAGTGCTTCAAAAGAAGAATCCTATATATACATAAAAGATGTTAATCAATTCATCATCAGGAATTAACAATATCTAATATATAATTGTCAATATATAACAAAAAAAAATGAAAGATTTATTACATTCAATTCATTTTCATCATACATTCCAATGAAATGATATGATTATATAATTTTAATGTAAATCTTATAATTTTAATTCTTATATTATCTACATTTCCTACATCTATTTTTATCTATTGTTAATAAGAAATATGCATGCACTCGATCAATACGATAAGCCAGGTGATATTTATTGCACATGTTTCTTTTGTATGCTCGTCTCGTATGCTCGAACAAACATATTATCCTTTCTATTCTCTTTATATATTGACAGTTTCATCTTTTATAAAATATTTGTACATCATACATCCATACAATTATCTATTGTTGATTTATTTTTTTTTAGTTTTTGTTGTATTAATATATCAAATCCAATGCTCAATAATATACCCGATACGCGGAATACACAGGATAAGATTAGAAGTTTTATAACACCAAATGAAGTAGTTGATCTTGATGATGAAAATGAATTTGAAAGTAAAGATATTCCAGTGTCGCACGAATCATATGATTTAGGCCAACGACGCAAATCATCTGTATATTCTGCTCAAAGTGGATCTAGCTCAAGTGTTGAAGTTCCACGAAGAAATTCTACTGTTGATATGGGTAAAAAGAAATTTTTATTATTTATAAAATACTTTTCATCTCTCTACTGTGTGAGTACGATTGATATAGAAACATATATCAATTATAATTTCAAAATGTTAGAACTTAATTGAGAATTCAATCAAGGGTAAAGATGAATAGGAATATTTTATTTTTACATTTATTTTGTCTCAATACAGAGACAATCCTGACACACAAACGTCTATATTCAAAAATAGTAACATAGCAAATAAACAATTTACTTCAACTAGAACTGTTATTTTCTTTTGTTGCTTTTATCTAAGTATATATGTGAATCACTGTTCTATATTTTATACAAAAAAAAATTTATGATTGAATCAATCAGATTCTTATCAGACTGACAGTACTTTAGTTTGTTTTCTATTATATAAACACTAAATTTTGATAATACAAAAAACAATGTTACCAGTGATGCATCATCTATGTGTTGTTCATCCTGGTTATCATTCTCATGAAAAGAAAAATATGAGACGTGAAATACAACAACGACGAAATATTGATGCTTATATTTATCATACTGTACCGATAAGTAGTTTTGATGAACAAACATCAATAAAATATTCAGATTTTGGTTTGTCTTATTTCAAAATATTTCTTTACTGAAAAAAAAACTAATATCAATGATCTTATTAGTTTATTATATATTTCAGTTCAACGACCAATATTTGAAGGTATTCGTTTGGATGCTATTCGATCACAAAGTCCATGGCTTCGTTTATTAGCTGAATGCCTTGCAGAATTATTGGGTACAGCTATCCTTGTTTTATTCGGATGTTCAGGCATTGCTCAATATACTCTTTCACGTGGTGTTCTTTCAAGTTTTTTATCGGTTAATTTTGCTTTTGGTTTTGGAGCAATGATTGCTGTCTATGTTGCCGGTCCTGTATCAGGTTGATTTTGTCTATTGTTATTGTCTAAAAGAAATAATTATATTTTGTTTATCATTAGGTGCTCATATTAATCCAGCTGTATCAATTGCGATGTTAAGTTTACGATCAATTACACCATTACAATGTATTGCCTATATTTTATCTCGTATGTATTTGAATATATTTATCTTAGATTACTATTTGCTTGCTAACAATCAAGGCAATTCTATTGTTCATTAATAAGACTAAGCATATTCGGATCAAATTAAAACTTTCGTCGCCCAACTAATAAATTTAAAATAAAGCTTGCTATCGATCTACATGGAACGAGATAGTTGCATTTAAAAATATTTAAAGTATATGTAACATACTTGCGATACAAAAATTCTAGAAAGTTTTTATTGTGATGGTTGGATAAAGGTCATCTAATTGCTAAGAAAAAGTATGTTTTGATATTAGTAAAAATATATATTTCTTTTTTACAAAAGTTAGACTTTTGGGTCTATTCTCTCTTGTATTTGAAAATACTACTATGTTGATCATTTTCATGAAATGCTTTTTGTTTATGCATTTAATAAACCAGACATTTTCTTATGCAATTTGACAAGTTCTATCCAATCATTAGAAGAGAAATCTATGCTAAAATTTTAAATGTCAAGCAAACACTTTACATATCCTATTATACCTTAAAGTTCGAATATCTCAATCCATGTATGCTAAGTACAACCTTGAGTTTGAATTTATTAGTTTGACGTTGAAAGCTTTAGTTTAATCCGAATATGTCTAGTCTTAGTACCTAACAACAAAAACATTTAGATTGCTAGTAATAAAAATATTTGTTAAGTTTTATAATTTATATATATATATAAGTAAAATATTGTTTCATTAAACTAATACATGGAAGTTATTCCTATATAAAAAAAATTCGATAAGTAGAACTTATTATTAATAAGTCATTTGTAATTAAAACGAAGTAACATTATCTATAAAGAGTTTATTACTAGTGGCATGGCATACACATTTTCTCTCTTTTTAAATTTTCTTTCGTTATGATATCAATCCTGAATACCTATAATCCCTTAGCAAGATTTCTTTAATTAATCAATTAAATTTTTAGAATTTCTTGGTGCATTTATTGCGGCTGGTTTAGTATTTGGAACTTATTTTGATGCAATAAATCAATTTGATCATGGTGTACGAAAGGTAAAAAATTCATTTCATTTTTAAACCATAAAAAATAAATAATGTTCAATCGAAATCAATTCAACATTAGGTAACAGGTGTAGAAGCAACTGCTGGAATATTTGGTACATTGCCTGCACAAGGTGTCAGTCAAATCTCACTTTTCTTTGATCAAGTTCTTTCAACAGCTCTTTTACTCATTGCTATTTGTTCATTATCAAATAAACGAAATAAACTTGTAGCTAATGCTCAAATACCAATTGCTGTTGGTTTTATGATAACTGCGATTGGTGTTGCTTTTGGTATGAAATATATAGTTTAAATCTGTTTTTTTTTTCCTTCAATCTATTTCTGTTTTTTATTTTAAAGGATACAACTGTGGTTTTCCAATTAATCCAGCACGTGATTTTGGTCCACGTTTATTTACTCTTTGTGTTGGTTATGGATCAGAAGTATTTTCTGTTGGTAATTATTATTTTTGGATACCAATTGTAGGACCAATATTTGGTGGATTAATTGGTACATGGGTTTATCATGGTTATAGTAAATTAATGAAAGTACATATTGGTGAAGATGATAGAGAAATAGCTCGTGCACGTTATCAAGTGGATTTACAAAATATAACACGCATGTAATTCAAATGTTAACAATAGATACATAAACAAAAAAAAAAGAAAGAAATTTCAATTAAACAGACTTTTATGATACTGCATATATGAAAAAAAATCAGTTTCGAATAGTGTAATATTGTATCAGAAGTGACTATCAACAAAAAAGTATTCTTTTGTTTTTTGCTGTTGGCGATTGTATACTGAATTTTCATGTTTTGCTTATGTTCATTTTAAATGTCGCAAAAAAAATATATCAAATTCTCGCTGCAATATTTTATTTTATTTTTTTTTTGTTTTGAAAAATGTTAATCATTCGATGGGAAATATTATGAGTAGTCCTCTGATTTGAGAGGAAAAACACAGAAAAGAAATTAATAATAATAGAATTTAAGTTACTGCCTTTTATGTGACTAGAGATGGAAACCAATTGACTGAGCTGTCACTATTACTGTAAATAGTTGCTGAAAATTTCAGCGACCGCTTCCGAAACATAAAAATGATCGTAGATTTTTAAAAATTTGCAAAAGTTTTTAAACATATTCTTATTTAATTCCTTAACGTCACTTTATTTACCATCATTTTTTACTTTTTTTTTTCTTTCAAATTTCGCGAAAAAAATTTAAAAAAACAATCGAAAAATTGCAACTCCTAATTAAGACGTCCGCTCACATATCTAAATAAAACTTCATGTTGAAAGATATTGAACTTGAATACTTATCGATTGTAACCATATACCGATTACAGTAGATATTTTTCATAAAAATCTCATAAAAATGATGAATTATATCTGCGTTTCTTTTTCATTTTTTTACCAATTTCAATGGGTCATCGTACTGTTTCATCTTATGCATATCATTTACATATAATATTATACAACTAACATATTAGTAGATTCAATCAAAGACAGGGATCATTTTTATAAAGTCATTGTTTGAAATAGAAATGAGTTCAACGAAAATATTAAATCCCTATTTGAGTTCTTTTGTCAGTAAACTTGAGATAATCGAACTGATATAAAATTAAAAATCTCGAAAAGAAATCAGTGAAGAATGAAAACAGATGTAACTAGTAGCTCTCATCAATTAAAAAAACAACCATCAGTTTCATATCTCTTCTTCATTCTGATAAATAATTTTATTTTACATTAAGATGTATCATATTGCAAGAAGATATCAAATTACACTTGTAGAGTATCTAAAACTTATTTGAAAACAGATATTAAAGGATTAAATCAATATAATCTACGTAATCAATTTTGACTAGACATATAAAAAGTGATAATTTTTATTTTACATTTTATTAAAACATGTTTTCATTCTACATACGACTTGTTTTTCTTCTTCTCCTAATTTCATACAACTCTGTATCTGGATTATCAAAAGTTTTATTATGTCAATGTGAATGTTGTCCAGGTGAACAATGTCAATCTCAATTATTCATATTTTCTGTTGATAAATGTAATGAAACAACATGTTCTTTTGAACGATGTTATCAAATGTATCCAAAAATATGTGGTCTTATACCTGGCATTACTAATACATCATGTATTATTGTGAATGAAACTACAACTACTGTACTTTCAAGTACTATTTCGTTCTTGACGAATGTTACATCATGTAATGTTATTCTACCAATAACAATTATTATGAATCTTCTATTCTTTTGTGTTTTTAAACATTGTTAAACTTGATGAAATAATTGTTTTATATTAATCATGCATTATATGTATTTTATAAATATAAATAGCTCTAATAGAATGAATAAAAATCAATGTTCAATAATATGAAACTTTTATTTTTATTTCAAAGCAAAAAAAGAAAAGAATTTCATATTGACACATATGTTCATTATAGATTCATATTCTTAGAAATAAAATAAAGTACCGTGTAAAATTGTAATACCACCTAAAACATAACTAAGAACAGTATCAATAAGAAAAATAAAACCTGAATAACCATTCACATTAATTAATTCATATATTCGTATAAATGTTAATGTCATTGAAGTACCAGCACTAAATAATGTTAGCGGTACAAATATATAATATCGATTTTTACTATTTATTGTTGTTATCATTAAAAGAAATGATGAAAATGTACTTATTAAAAGAAGAATAATACTAAAAAAAGTAAACATTGTTATTGTTCGATTTAATTCTTTTGTTTGACAACAACATGTACTCAAACATTGTTGAAATAAACTTGTACGATTATAATTTGTATGAATATACCAATTAGTTGTTGATATTGATAATATAGTTGTTGTCAAAATAAATGTTATAAATATGAAAATAAGTAAATCAATAGCTAATTTTTGATTTGAATACATCAATATATTTGAAAAAAAAAATTTTTTTTCAATAAAGAAAATGATGAATCTTTGATTGTGTTCTTGACTTTTTGAAATTTGATATATACAATCTGTCTGTTGTTTTATATCATATCATTGAAGAATAAAAATCATAAAGTTTGTCTTTAATTGATCATGAAGTTTTTTTTTTCTATGTATTCATTAATAGTATTTTCATCTGTAGAAGATATTAATTTTATTGTTGATGTTTCTTTAATTGTCTTACGTTTATAGATCTATCGAAAAAAAATTCTTTAAAATAAAATAGAAATCAAAATGTTTCTTCACCATAGCTAAGTGATGTGTTTTGTTTATTAAACTTTCAATATCGAGACCAATTATTTCATCTAATTTATTTCCATGAAAATACCATTGAATAGTAGGAATTGTCATCTGTAAATATATTTATATATAAGGATAAAATAATTCGTTAGAGGATTGACTTTGGAAAATCAAAATACGTCTATCTTGGGATGATGAATTTTTCTTAAGTTAATTTTTATTTGTTTCATGTATGTTAAGTTACTCTAAAAATTAGCATTAAAGACCTTTGTTGAGAGAAAGTATCAGTAAAAAACTTAGCGTTAACACAGACAACCATTTTTACTTAAAGAAATTTTTTGAAGTTAATTACTGTTTAATTAATAGTCAACTGAAAGAACCAACATTTTTACATATGTTTATGCCAAAAAGAAATCGTGCAAAAATATAACCCTTGTAAAGAATTAAAGTCAAATGAAAGACGTGTATGTCTCATTTTCTCTGAAAGCTAACTCATGTATATATATATATATAAACAATAAAAGAAATATTCTGTTTAAAAACTCGACTAACTATATTCAAACGTTGCATGAATTCAAGATTATTTTCATCAATATCAATACGATAAAAATTTGTATGAGTTAAATTTTTCTCATATGATAAATCGAATATAGTTGATAAGATCATTTTTGAACCAAGTGACCAACATACAGTAAATACAATAATATTTAAACGTCGTTCAAGAATAATTTCATGTAATTCATGTTCTTTTGAAAGAATATATAATGGCATTTTATTTAAATAATATTTAATGGCGCATTGTTATTACATTTTAATATCTTTTCTTCTTAATCTCTTTACGAATGCCTTTTCATTTTCGATGTACATCGAATGATAAACCTTTTTTTCGTATTCTTATTTCATTTCGTTCAATGCTTATAATTAATCGTTATTGTCATTCATTAAAAATACTTGATTTAATTCGTTCACATTTTTGTTTATCAAAAAGTTTTTTACCAATAATTTTACATGAAGTAAATACAGATGAAGAAATTATTTTAAATAATGATATTAACATAATAAAACCAATAAATTCTGGTATTTATTTAGCTTTACTTAAATATGATGATATGAAATATCAACCATTAATTGATTTAAAATTAATTCCAATGGAAATTTTTCCTGAAAAAAAGTTTTTACCTAAATCTATACCATTCATTATCTATGAAATAGAACCATTTGTAAAAGCATTAAGTAATTTAATTGAGTATATGAAAGAATATGAAAAAACAAAAATTATTTGTCGAAAATATATAAATATTAAAAATGAATCAAATAGTCATTCGCCATTACATAGTATTAGTCAACTATCAACAACAAAGCGTACTAGTAAAAATCTGCTTTTAAATATGCTAACCTTATGCTATCTATATGTATATATGTTACGAGACTCAATTAGAATTGAAATAAATTTATACAATCTTGTGCTTTACTAAAAGTAGAGTACAATAGAAAACAAAAAGCCGTTAGTGTAGTCTCAGGAGGATTAAAATGTAAAACATGCTGTAGCTGATGTTACTAATCAGAGAGAGCTTATTTTATTCTATACATGTTAGAACACATATCTTCATCCTTCTTTTACTTACTCTTCGAGAAATGCAGTAAGACACTAGTAGTTAATATATTTAGGCGAATCGTTCTTGATATACGATCTATGAAAGAGGAGTAGGTCCACATTTCTATCCTATATACTTCAATAATCCTTTTAGATCGTATTTCATGAAAGACAAAAAGTTTGAAATTTTAGCAGTTGTATTGATGAAGTAGTAGAAATATAGATGTACGCTCTACAATACCTTAAAAACAAATTATCTGAATTGGATTCACCAACTATCAAAATGCAGAATGCTCTAAAAGTTTGTCGAGAAAAAGAACGTTAATAATTCTTTAACAATTCAAGCTTTATGCGTCAGCTTTTGTATGATTTTATTCGTTTTTATTTTAAAGTTTGGTTTCGTATAATTTTATCTGCCTTCGCTGTTCAAAATGTGAACACTAAAATGAAAATTACAAGTCCAGAGCTTTCAAATATTTTTAATAGGTACATTCTGTAAACGTTATCTATCATGTATTATCAGATAAAAAATTCAAAAGATGCTAAGTTCAATGTGTACAAAGTTTATCGAAAAGAACCATCTCTTTCAATTCGTATGTTAGAGAAAATATTGTCTTGAAACTAGCATACTTCATTTTGTTGAACTCCTTACTGAGTTCTCTCATAAAGATATTGTTGAATTAAAAGAATAGTTATTCTACTCAGATTTTAATTATATGAATCTGCTTCTAATCGAATTCCACTTTCGTTCTGGAGAAATTGAGAACTAAACCAAATTTCAATTTTATTTTTCACATATATACTAAATTCTAGATCAAACAAGAAGTACTATTGGTAAAACTTCGTCTTCTACAGTTTCACCTAATGTAATGCCTACACCTTTATCAATATCATCGATCGTTCCAATATATGTTAATCATGAACTTGATATTCGACAATATATAGTTACTGATTCACAACGAATTCATCGAACATCATTAGATAATAATTCTCTACCATTTACTTTTCGTACTCTTAATCGAAAAGAACAAATGATTCAACAACAAGCTATAAGTGATCATATTACATCTTCATCAATGATAAACATATATGGTTAGTAAGAATTATTAGTATCAAAAATTTTTGTTTTTTTAAATAAAAGATTATATTTATAGAAAATAATCCATATGAATTCAATGAAAATGAACTTATCCTTTTTAAACAACATCTTTCTTCACTTAATATTGATTCATCATTTATATTAGAATTAAAAAATTGTATTCATCAATTAGCTATTGAAAATAAACTTGATAAAACTGAAGTTTGTGATATATTTATTAAATTAGATTATAAAATAAGACGTAATCAATTACATACTCAAGATATATTAAAAATTATACAAAATTTACAAGAAGCAGCATCTCATAATACACAAAAAACATCATTAACAAATTTATCAAATTTAATGAAAATACTTTTTCGAATAGACTATTTAGAAAAATTTAATAAACTAGATAAACAAAAAGTGCATATATTCAATCAACGTGTAAATCATCTGTAAGTTAATAAATAGTTAATAATAAATTATTTTTTTACATAATATTGTTTATTTTTCCATAAGAGCACGAATGGGTATATTAAATCAACAATTGAAAATGTTTAAAAAACTTTTTCAACTCGATTTATTTGAAAATGAACCTAATCAACAAGCTTTTTCACTATTTATTGATGATGATGTACAACGTATCATTCCAAAACATATACCACTTAACGATTTAGGTTGTAGTTTTTTTTAAAAACTTTCCTATCCAAATTTTTATGAAAAACAGTATAGAAATAGCTTCGTTTCTTCGACCTATAACATCCAACTGAACTGAAACACTTCTCTTATATATAGTCAAATTATTTGGAACGAGTAGTTTTTCTTTTATTTCAAAAGATATTGTTCTACTGATTTTAAAACTGTTCTATTCAAGAAGGCATGCATCTTTTAGAGTTCTTTTGATGTTTCGACCATTTTATTCTAAGGAAAAAAAAGACAAAAAGATGCCCATTTCAAGCAGTAACTAGTGCCTGTAAAAAAAAATATTTCGGAAATTTTAAGTCTATAGCAACTTTTGCTTTACTAGTCAAAATCTACTTGTCTTGAAAAGCTCAAATTCTTGTGATGAGTTGTTCGCCTGAAATCTTGGAAAGGATGAAAGAGTACGCTTAAAATTTTAAATGAAATATTCATTTATTTAGGCATAAAAGAAATTATTCATCAACTTCAATTGAATATCGATCACTTGGGACCAGTAACTGCACTTATGCTTATTGATAATCTTCAACAATTAGTTCATTCTGGTTTATTGTTAACTATAAATAAAACACCACAATTGAAACGATATTTAATACAATTTATAGAACATATACAAACTGGTCGTTTCATAGGAATTGATCTTCACCGTCTCATGGAACAAATGAATCAGAGTATACATATGAGTACAACGAAAAAAGTTTTATTTACTAGTCAATTAGATACTTTATTACAAAAGACTAAATTAATATCGAAAGATGAGAACACAGTATTAAAGAATAGTTATGATGAATTAATTTCTCTCTTAATGAATTTAGCTTATAAAGGACAATTACATACTTATACTAATGTTGTTTCACAAAATATAAAAATCAAAGAACTAGGTATAAGAACATCATATTGTTGTTGTTTTTTTTTATTGAATAATAATAATATTTAGATACGTTAACAGTTATCTATCAACAAACTGACATAGATAACAATAATCTTCAATCTATAATTAACTTTCTGTATGAACAATCATCCTCAGCATCATCATCGGGTCATCTTCCATATCAAGATATTTGTGATTTTATTCAATATCTCCGTCATTTTGCACAATTAGGCATTCTATATGAACCACAAATTTTAAATCTATTAATTGATTTACATAAAGCTAAAGATCAAGATAAGATTACTGTAGAAACATTTAAAACAATTTTAGAACATATGAAAACTGTTCATTATGTTTATGCATATAATCATTTAAATTTGACTGAATTCGATAAATTTTTAAATGATATGATTTTTGATGGTAAGAGAAAATCAAACAAATATTCTGAAAAAAAATCCCTATCATAGACAATGGTTGACTCGGTTGTCTTAAATAACCCGAGCATATGATTTTATTCGACCGTAAGCTAGATGTAACAAACAAACGTCTATTTGTAATTAGAATTTTCTTTCCTACATATAAAAAATGTCAATCCACTCGTTGAGAAACAAGTCTGGATTAGTTATTTAACTTTTTTTTTCAAAAACCAAAAGAAACTTATTTTTTATAACCTTAATCGAAAACAATGTTCCCCTCTTTCATTAATAACACGGCGACACTTAATGTTATTAAAGAATTAAAAAATTATACATTATGATAGATAAAAAGAGAAACCATCTGCAATTCTTTGACTATATAAATATGTCATTTGGATATTTTTTAATAAATTTGAATAATGAAACGAAAAGAAAATGTTACGAAAACCAAAAAATATCATATTGTTACTTGAAAGTAACTGAAATAAATGGTGGATACATGAAAATGAAAATAACTAAAGTTAACATATCGATAATGATTTCCAAATCTATTATTGATCTGACATCAAACAAAAGTAAGAAGCAAGAACTATTCGAAGATGTTGAAGAGCAAGAACCGATCAAGGCATGATACACCTTTCAGACCTAACTCAAAATAAATACTTAACACGCATTTAGGTTTAAGAGTATAATAAATGCTACACAAAAAACTTATTAGCTTATTAATTTATTTAAGAAAACGTTGAAGATAATAGTTTGGTCCTTTTATTTCCTTGATGATATCTATAGCATTCGTATTTTCAAATCGATAACACTTCATATAATAAACTTCATTTAATTACAACCGTATTACATTGTAATCTCTTTTTTTACCCTAGACAAACGAAGTATGGCAGGAAAATATAGAAAATGATAAGAACTTGAAAGCAGGTATCCAATAACTAGATAGTTTCTTCCAAGTTTCTACAATTTTACGATGTTTTCCAACCAGCAATCGACAGATTGAACGCCAACATCATTGATTCGAGATTCAAAATTTTTTTTTTCAAAATAAGACTAAATTAACACCTGTAGTCCGAATACACCGAAATAGGAACAAAGCTATTTGAA